GTCCGTCTGTCCCTCGCCCAGTGGGGAGTCGTGCCTCCGGGATGGCAGAACAGCTCGCTCGTGAGGAAAAAAGGCAAACGTCATGAGCATAATCAGCATCACCATCACCGCCATCGTCATGACCGCGGGCTTCACTGAGCACGCCCACAGATGGCAGGTGCCGCTCGCTCCGCACGACGCCTCGTCTTGTTTTTCAGCCACGCTGGAAGCTGAGCTCGCACGCTGCCAAAATCGATGCCGACCAGGGCCTCGATTTCCGTTCGTTGCAGGGCCATGCTTGGCTAGCTCTCTGTGCCATCATCCCTAAAGCGAGGCCTCCCCCGCGAGGTATGCCGTATTTCTTATATAACTGGCAGATAAATGTCTGCCGTATCGGGCTGATACCGAGGAAAAAAAAAGACGGCCCAAGAGCGCTCCAAGAGAGCCCAAGACCGCCCAAGGCGGCCCCAGGACGTCCCAAGAGGCCTCCACGACGCCCCAGGAGGCGCCCACGAGGCGTCCCAAGAGGGCCCCAAGATGCCACAATCATTGATTTGCTGAAGGAAAACGTCATTTCTAGCATATACAGCTTTTCGCCTTTCATGGCGTTGAAGACGGTCCAAGAGGCCCCCAAGACCGCCCCAAGACGGCCCAAGATGTTCCCAAAAGGCCCCCCAAATAGCCCAAGAGGGCGCCTAGACGGGCCAAGAGGCGCCCAAGACTGTCCAAGAGGCCCCTAAGTGCGCCCCAAGAAGGCCCAAGAGGCCCCCAAGAGGGCCCCAAAACGGCCCAAGAGTGCGCCAAGACGGCCCAAGAGGCGCCAAGACGGCCCAAGACGGCCCAAGACGGCCCCATGACGGCCCCAAGAAGGCCCCAAGAGGCCCCCAAGAGAGCCCAAAGACGGCCAAAGGCAGCCTAGCCCCTTCACCTTTATCGAGTAGGACGGCCTTCGGGGCTTAAAAACAGCGTTTCGCTCGAGACATCATCGGAGAACGCGTCTTGGGCGCTTCTTGGGCCGTCTTAGGCGCCTAAGACAGCCCAAGAAGCGGCCAAGACGGCGCCCACGACGGCCCAAGAAGCGCCCAAGACGGCCCAAGAGCGCTCCAAGAGAGCCCAAGACCGCCCAAGGCGGCCCCAGGACGTCCCAAGAGGCCTCCACGACGCCCCAGGAGGCGCCCACGAGGCGTCCCAAGAGGGCCCCAAGATGCCACAATCATTGATTTGCTGAAGGAAAACGTCATTTCTAGCATATACGGCTTTTCGCTTTTCATGGCGTTGAAGACGGTCCAAGAGGCCCCCAAGACCGTCCCAAGACGGCCCAAGATGTTCCCAAGAGGCCCCCCAAATAGCCCAAGAGGGCGCCTAGACGGGCCAAGATGCGTCCAAGACTGTCCAAGAGGCCCCCAAGAGCGCCCCAAGAAGGCCCAAGAGGCCCCCAAGAGGGCCCCAAAGCGGCCCAAGAGGGCGCCAAGGCGGCCCAAGAGGCGCCAAGACGGCCCAAGGCGGCCCCAGGACGGCCCCAAGAAGGCCCCGAGAGGCCCCCAAGAGAGCCCAAAGACGGCCAAAGGCAGCCTAGTCCCTTCACCCCCGCAGCCCAGATACTCCCAGGAGGCCCCAGGAGGCCCCCGAAAAGCCCCAAGAGGCACCCAAGAGGCTCCCCAAGAGCCCCCCAAGAGGCCCAAAATACTCCCAAAGGCTCTTAGCACCGCGGCTCCCAAGAGCGAGCGGTGACGTAATCAAGCTGATAAGACCAAAGCTCCCAACCGAGAGCTGAGACGTAATAAGTTCTTGACGCCAGGGCACAGGGACGGGCGGCAACGCGTGGACAACGAGCGGTCCACGCAAGGAAAACGCGGGGTTCTGGAAAGCTGGCAGCCCAAACGCGGAAAACGCAACGCGACCCGACCGCCCCCTCCAAAACAAGAAACGCGCTCAAAGAAAGCTCCGCGACTCTCCGAGGCTGAGATAGGACAAGAGCCTGGGGAAGGGAGTCAATAAGAGGTGTAAGAGCGGACGAGCCAGCGATCTCGTGCGCTCTGAAAGTAAGTGCGCTTTCCGTCCCCGTGCCAAGCAGGTCTAGTGGCCTGCGGCCCATCCCGCCACCGTGCTTGAGTTGTGGGTATGAAGCCTATTGGATGTTCGTTGGGATCTTGTGGGAGGCCTCTCGGGGACATGTTAAAGGCAGCTTGAGGCCTCTTGGGGGCCTTTTCGGGGTCTCTGTTGGGCCTCGTTTGGGTCTCTTGGGCGCTTCTTGGAGCATCTTGGGGACCTCTTGGGGGCCTCTTGGGGCCTCTTGGGCTCCCACAGGCTTTGTATGTGTGCTGGATGCAGGGTGAATTGCAAGAGGAAGAGCAGAGGCCAGGGAGAAGCGGCCGCAGGAGCGGCAGCCGCAGAGGGAGAGCAGGACCGAGGGGAGGAGGAGCAGGAGGAGGAGAGGGAGGAGGAGCAGAGGGTAAGAGGAGGTGGAGAAGAAGGAGCCAGACAAGGAGGAGGAGGAGGAGGAGGAGGAGGAGGAGGAGGAGGAGGAGGGGCAGCAAGAGTAGCAGCAGCAGAAGGAGGGGGAAGAGGAGCAGAGGGTAGGAGGAGCAGAGGGTAGGAGGAGGTGGAGAAGGAGATGTCGGAGGAGGATCTGGAGGAGCATGAGGATCGACAACGCGTAAGAGTGACCCTTTGCCGGAGTGACCTTCGGTGCGGGCACACTGGTGTCCCCAGATGGCTCAGCGCGACGCGGTAGCGGCTACTTGCGCGTTTGGATTTGGCCACCTTGCGCGTTTTTTGTCCGCACACAAAAGGTCACTCTTGCCCAAGGTCACTCGTGCGTCTAGCCGAGAGGAGGGGAAAACGGGACGGTGAGGAGGAGCACGGTGAGGAGCAGGGTAATGGGTTGAAATAGCGGGAGGAGCAGGAGACTGAGGGGCGCCGGAAACCATGCGGCGCAAGTGTTTCATTGCTGCAGGCAGGAATTTAGCTGGTGTCTCGCGTGGTTGTCTTGGCTCAGCTATTGCTTTGCGGTCCACCCCTTCCTTCGTGACCTCACCCCTGCTACGGGTCTAGACAGTAGCGTTGAGGTCGAGGCTTGCCCGTGGGCTTGTTTCCGTCAATCCCTGAAGCTGCATGTGGACATCCCCCAGAGAAGGTACATGGCACCAGGGCACAAGGAGAGCTGAAGGAGTCAAGGGATCATGACCGATTGACGACATCGGAGGTGAGGGGGTGAGATCGCAGTGAAACGGCGAGCCTCTCACCAAGAAATCGGTTTCAATTTCTTGCTCATGTTGTGTGGGCGAGGCGAAGCTGCGTGAGCGGGCGAGATGCATGAGCCCTCCTCTGGCTAGTGCGCGGCCGAGCCAAAAGACTGCCCCTCCCCCCCTTGTTGGTCGGTGGTGGCCCAGTGTGTCCCGCCGTGTTGTCCCGATTGTGTCCCGTGGTGCCCCGTGGTGTCCCGCGGCGAGGTGCCCCTTGGTGTTCCGTGGTGTCCCGTGAGGTCGATAGTGGGATCGATGATGGGATCGATAGTGAGATCGATAGTCAGAGTGATAGTGAGTTCGATATTGAGATCGATCGTAGTACCGATAGTGAGATCGGCAGTGAGATCGACAGTGAGATGGATTACCATTTTGGCAGTGGGATCGGTAGTGAGATCGATCGTGACATCTATAGTAAGCCGATGCGTTGAACCGATAGTACTATCCAAATTGACTGTGATAGTGAGATCAATCGTGGGATCGATGGTGAGATGTACTGTCTTATCGATAGCCAGTGGGATAATGCGAGCGATAGTGACATCGATAGTAATACTGATAGCGAGATCGATAGTCAGACCGATAGTCAAAGTGATACCAAGATCGATGGTGAGATGGGTTGCCAGATCGATCTGGGATCGATTGTGAGACCGAGCGTGAGATCGACCGAGTGAGATCGATAGTGAGGTCTAAGGTGATATCCATAGTGATATCGATTGAGTTTGGCGTTGGTTCCCCCGAACCTCTACCAGAAGGATTGTCGTATAGGTACCAGAGGGTGCACACGTGGTATTCCCTCCATAAGGCCTGGCCTCCTTGCGTCGTGGTATAGTCACGAAGGTATTTGAGAATGTTCGGTGTCCAAAGGCTCTGTGGAGTCACGCCGTGAAAGAACAACGCGACGTCGGATGCCTGGGGCGTTCGAGGCTCGTTGGCTTCTCCTCTTCGGCGGAGGCCTGGCAGGCAGGCGTGAGGCGGCGGGAAGCAGAATCGTGGGCAGTTCCGCCGTCCGAGGGCGGAGTGGATGCGGGTGGACACACGAGAGGCCCGTCTCTCTTGGTAGTCGGGCGGGTGGTAAGCTCGGGCTGGCCTGATGACGGATACGTCTGGAAGTTCGACGGGTGGGGCAACCTTGCGGCAAGGGATGCAGGAGGAGGAGGAGGGGGGGGGAGGAGGAGGAGGAGGAGGAGGGGGGGGAGGAGGAGGAGGAGAAGGAGGAGGAGGGAGGAGGAGGAGGAGGGAGGAGGAGGAGGAGGAGGGAGGAGGAGGAGGAGGAGGAGGAGGAGGAGGAGGAGGAGGAGGAGGAGGAGGAGGAGGAGGATGGGCGGACCTGAGGGGTGGTGGTGAAGGAAACGGCCCAAGGAGGCCAAGCCAGCGAGCTCACAAGCTTGGGGCAGGCGAGTCCCGGGCAGCCAGCACGTCCTCTTTTGTCACGATTGCTAGCTCTCAGCGGTGCAGTGGAACACATCAGCAGCGGGTGCTCTACATGGGGGTTTGAGAAAATGACCTTGACAGGCCAGCAGGGGCCCAAAGGTGTCTCTAAGGGGCTTACTTTGGGGCCCTCTGCTTCACCCCCCATGTCGGTCCCCCCCCCCCCCATCACCACCCGCCCGATGTGGGTTCCGGACTTCCAGAGCGGGCCACACCGATCCTGGGCGGGCCCACGCTCCAAGCCGTGCCCGGGATCGGTGCATTCGCCTCCTCGGAGGGCGTCGGCATCAGGACAGGCAGTTGTGCACGCTCCCTGGCTTCCTGCCCTTGTCCTCCCCCGCCCGGAAGGCCGGCACCGTGGTGGTCCAGGGATCCATTTCTGGCGTTCGCGCAGTGGAGGACGACGTCCAGGGCAGGGGCCTGCCGGCGACGGTTGACGTCGTGACCGTCGAGGTTGACATGTTCTACCCCGGGCGGGGCGGGGGCTCGGGGCCCAGACCCCTGACCCCCTCACGTCGTGAGCAGAATGGACGGGAGGTTTTTGCTGTTTTGTGCCTCCACGGGCCCTATTCGTGGCCGCGGGGCTCTCTGGGGTGTGAAAAGGTCACGACGTCGGATGCCTGCGGACATGGTCTGCCTGCGCGTTAGCCATTGTATCTTTTGCTTGCCCTTTCCTCTTCTCTCCCTGGCAGGGCAGCACATGCTGCCGCGAGCTGGCGGCGTGGCGCGCAGAGCTGGCAAGGTACGTGCCAGGATTGCCCGTTTGGAACCCTTGGTGCCGTCTGCGTCAGACAGGGGCCCCACCCCCTCCCACGCATCCGCCTTCACGGACATCGTGACGGCCGGTGTTTGCTCGGTCTGGGCCTGGTCTGGGCCCTGGGGCAGTTAAAACACTGCTTAGGATGAAACGCTGGTCTCGGGGAAGTGCCTAGGATGAACATGAATTGCACCAGAGCGCTCTAGAACGCCATCAGAGCGTTCTGGAGCGCTCTGAAACGGCCGCCGCGCCCGATACATCCTCGAGACCATCCAGTTCAGAGATTCCCAGTTCACATCGGGATGTATCTTCATCCTTCCCTTGCCTTATCCAGAGCTCCAGAGGCCAGCGACTCAAGGAAGCCGTGTGACAGACCAGGCGAATGAGCAGGTCGACCCTTCAACGTCAGGGATTCCCCTGGTGTCCTCCCCATCCCCTTCCCATCTCCCCTGTCCGGCCGGACGACCTCCGCAAAGGCGGGGGGCCCAGACTCTGTTGCGTGCGCTCGGTTTCGGCCCGGTGCCTGGCGCTTGAGCAGCCAGCGGCGTGTGTCGCTGCACCCGGTGGACGGCGCGTCCCGCCGGCTCTGCAGTCGCGCTTGCGTCCACTTGCGCTGCGAGCAAGAAGTGCCGCTGCGCTGACCCCCTCTTGTTGCCCACCCGTGCCCTGCTCCGCGCACTCTCGTGGTCTTCACGGCGACTCGGCCCACCCAGTCGGCTCATCGACTCTCCCAGGGTACCCCGTGCGGCGTCGACATTTCCTCCAGAGGGTGCGCCATACGATCCCGTTGTCACCGCTTTGGCTAGCTCGTGGCCAGCAGCTCGAACCGGATGTTTTCTCAACCCCGCTTGTTCTGTTCAGGGAGCTCCACGTTCTCCACGACGCGCAAAGGCTGTACCTACAACAGCTGGTAAACAAGCGCCCTTCTCTGATCTTGCTCCCCCATTTTGCACGCCGCTTCTTCCACTCAGTTCTTTTCATTCAGCGTAAGTAGACGGAGCCTGCAAGCTGCTGCAGTCGAATCGCTCGAGCCTGTCGAACATTTCTGGATATTTCATCTTCGCGTCTTGGCCAGCTTTTGCTGAATGAGTGTTGAACCAGGCCCTGTACTCGAAGCAGGCCAGGAAGCCATGATCTGGGGAATTGGATCCCACAGTGATAGTCCGATGCTGTCCGTGGAATCTCCTGGTACAGGCTAGCCCAGAAATTTCCATTTTTGTTGACGGTATGGAGTTCGTTCGGAATCATGGCGAAGTGAGACCAAGTGCAAGAGGTGGGACATGCCAGCCAATTCCACCACATTCGCAATACGCGGCCTATCGTTCTTGTGCGCGCGATACTGTCTGTCCCTCTGTCGGACTGGGCAGCCCCTCGCCTCGATGCGACTCGCCTAAAGGGGGGCACTTCTGCAGATCCCTTGCGCCAGGGTCGTTGAGAGTTGAGAGCCTACAGTCGGGGCCCTGAAGAAGGAACCCTTTTGGTTAGGGGAGGGGCTCCGCGTTCCTTAAGTGTTTCACAGCTTGCCTCAAGTTTTCCTTATGTTCTCGATCGGAAATTGAAGTGTAACTTATGGAAAAAGGGGCCTCGTTCCTTATTTAGGGTTCCTTAGGTCAACGCCCCGACTGTATCGAACATCTCGCTCTGGATGAGGCGCACAACGAGCCAGTGGCTGACAGAGGGCTGGACGTCAATAGGGACCCTCTCCGCAGCGCGCTCGCTCGCTCTGCCCTTCCCGCATCCTCGATGATCTTTCCTCCTCCTCCTCCTCCTCCTTCCTCCTCCTCCCTCCTCCTCCCTCCTCCTCCCTCCTCCTCCCTCCTCCCTCCTCCTCCCTCCTCCTCCCTCCTCCTCCCTCCTCCTCCCTCCTCGATGATCTTCACATCGTGATCCTTTCGCAGCATGGCCCCCAGAGGTCTCGCTGTACCCCTTCCCCGGGGACTGGCTCTTTTTGCCGGCCCCGGGGCCTGCAGTGGGAGCCCCCAGGGGCCAAAAAATGGACAAGCATTCTCCGAAGTTCCTTTATCCTTCTCCTCCTCCTCCTCCTCCTCCTCCTCCCCAGTCTTTCCCATTCCTCGGCTGGGCTTGGAGGCGAATGGTCACCTGCGTGGTGACCACCGAGGCGGTGGGGATGGCCAGAAGCAGTGGGCCGAGAGAGGTAGGCTTGCAGGGTTCGGAAGGGCAGGCGGAGCCCTCAGACAGGGAGCCGCGGGAGGCCTGGGCGGATCCCGTGCTGAGACTCGGGCGCGCTTTCGAGAGGCACCGTATCCAGTACCAGCTTGAAACATGTCCATGTCCCTATGTTTGACATCAACCGTACCTCGGTGCCGATCCCAAAGATTCCTTCAGTTTCTGTGGGTACATCCCTAAATCTTGTTATTGCCTCAGGAATGTGGATTGTAGGAATAGGGATCAGTTCGAGCCTGGTTGGTCCACATGTGGCTGAAAAGAGGCGGTCCAGAAGCGGCTGGAAATCATACGTCAACATTTGTGGGTTCATGGTTCGCAGAATCGGCCACATACGTGGGCCCTTGTTTTGGGAGCGCCACCATTTGGCGTGCACGTGCTCCACTGGAAACACATCTAAGGTGTGTCGGCCAGTTTGGCATGCCTGGGGCATCCTTGCAAGACTCGGGGGCAACCTTAATAGCCATCCTGGGGCCTCATTGCGGCCTCCTGGAGCCGTGTTGGAGGCCATCTGGGCAATTTTGTGTTATGTCGGAGGCCATCTTGTGTTATGTGGGGCCATCCAGGGCCACCCTTGACGCTCCGATAACCAATGGTCTAGAGGGTAGGGGTGGTTCGGGCAGGGGTGCACCCTGGTCAGTTCGAAAGAGTCAATCCGCGACAGCGCGTACTCCCGCAGAGGTGCTGTGACTCCTCCATTCCCATTCCCATCCTTATTCCTCCTGCTGTTCCTACCATTCCCATTCCTCGCCCGCCTCTATTTGTATTGATCCTTTTCCTCATGCCTTTCATCCAGCCATTTCTTCTGATGTTCTTGTTTGTTTTTCTCTTTTTCCGTTCCTCCTCCGTTCCTCCTCCTCTTCCTCCTCCTCCTTCTCCTACACTGCTTATCCTGCTGCCCTGCTGTTTCTAACTCCTACCCCTCTTCCATTGTTCCACCTCCTTATATTCCTTCTCTTCCCTCCGCCTCCAATCTCCCGTCCTCGTTTGTACGTAGCTCGGACTAGGACTGTTTGGGAGCGTCTGCGCGACGATAATAATGTGTCACTCATCCGACGTATGTGACGTTGACCTAACGCAAGCTGCAAGCTAGTGAGGCAGTGGGAGTGGCAAAGAGGCATGTACCAAGAAGAGTAACCCGCAATAACACATAGTAACTAAGCAGGCAGCCGGCTGCATAGGAGGAGGATGAGCAGGCGCTCTCAATACATGCCATACTCACAGGGAGGACACCGCAAGGGATGCTAACGAAATGCCAGCGGCACGCAGGCGACAGCTGGTGTAGATGGGTGGCCAATCGGTAGTCCCGTGCAGGCAGCACCATACATCTCCTGTACGATCTCTCCTCCGTACCTCAACTACTCTGCTATCTGGTCTTGTGTGCGCGTGTGTGTGTGTGTGTGTGTGTGTGTGTGTCTGTGTGTTGCGTGTGTGTGTGTGTGTGTGTTGCGTGTGTGTGTGCGCGTGTGTGTGTGTGTGTGCTAGTTCTGATGGGCTGCACGGACTGGAGAAATATGTTAGTCCGTCTCGGTGTACAGCTGGGTTGAGATGGTAGAGCTGTCCTCCTCCTCCTCCTCGCCATGTGCCGTAGCGCGTGGGCGGGTCCGGCCGTGGCGACGAGGGCTCCTCAGGGCGGCCCCCACTCTGGGCCAAAGCATTGAACATCCTTCCCTTCTCTGCGCCCCTCCCCCCTCTGTGCCTCCCTTTCTCCCCCCCCCTCCCCGCCAGCTGCCGGACCACCCTCCCGCGCCCCGCGGGGGGGGCACGCGCTCTGGCGTGGCAGGCGGGAAAGGGAAGACGAGGGCGCGCGGGAGCGCCCCTCTCGCGCGGGCCCCCCCCCCTTCGCGCCGCGCCTCCGGCGGGGCCGGCTCTCTGCCCCGAGCACGTGCCGGTGGAGGGCCCGGGGGGGGGCCCGCAGGCGAAGGCAGAATCGGGGGCTCCGTGGCCTCTCCAGGGCCCCTTCCCCTCGTGCTCCCTGCCCGTCGTCGTGAGGGGGAGCGGTCCTGAGGGCAGGGTGCCATGCTTTCTTTTGGCTGCTGCTTCTGGCGCCACCCTCCTCGTCGCACCATCAGGGCCCGCCTCTTCCTCGCTACCCGCCTCTCCACAGGCGGCGCCGGACGGCTTCACGCCCGAGATGTCCGTCCTGGAGGACGGCGCGTGTTGCGGCCCTTCCGGTCGGCAGCTTCTGCCTGGCCTGTCGCGCCGCCGGCTCTGGCCCAGCGCTCTGCGGCGCGGCGCGCGAGCCACGTCCCAGACCCCAGCAGCAGCGTCCCGAGCTCTGCGCAGCCTCCCACCCGGAGCAGCGGAGCGACACGCTTGCAGCTCGCCTGGCACGGCGCGCGAGCCGCCGGGGCCGCCGCCGCGGCACGCCGAGCAGCAAGTCCCTGGCCGCAGCCCCGGCCACCCGCGCCTCGCGATCGGGGGACGCCAGATGACCACCTCGCCGATCCCTGGCCAGGCCCATCCTGGGCCAGCCCTGGCTTCAGAGGGGGGAGAGGTACCCACACTGCTACCTTCCCCCGTTTTCCCCCTCTTGGACCTTCTCGGGGGCCCCCGTCGCCACCGCTGGACTCGCCTCGAAATCCTGGTCAGAACGCGCCCCGGGAGAGGTCCGGGAAGTAGCCGTATCGCTACCTTTTGGTTTCCCCACGGTTTCTTCGCCTCGTGAAAAAGTCACGACGGGAGGCATTTGGCAGCTTTGGGCTTCTGGGGTCCCCACTGGGCCCCTGGACCCTCAACATCAGCGACTCCGGCGTCTGTGGATACGTTTTTGAGAAAGCACAGCGTCGGATGTCTGGGTGTGTGCCCTCCTGGCTTGGCCAGGGATACATCTGCATCGAGCCTGGGCCATGTGACGTCCCCAGACGCGAGGGGAGGCGGGATGAGGCAGGAGAGAGGAGGAGGCGGAGGAAGGAGGTAGAATGCAGTCGAGGAGGAATGCGGAGGAGGAGGAGGAGGAGGATGAGGAGGAGGAGGAGGAGGAGGAGGAGGAGGAGGAGGTTTAGGAGGATCAGGGCGGACGAAAGAGAGAGACTGTGATAGGGGAGGGCAGACTGCAGCTGGTTGTGCCAATTCCTCTGGGCTTTTTCCCTCATGCATTGTTTGCACCTGGCGCCAGGGGGGCGTCTGAAAAACCGGCTGCATGCAGCTGGCTCCCTAACCGCTCGTTTGCTATTCCCCCGTTTCGCCCGCCACGAGAGGAGGAACGAGAATGCAGGAAGAGAAGAGGTACGATCGTGCAGGCCAAGGGAGAGCGACGCGAGAGCTCGAATCTGAGGCTGAACCGTCTTCCATCTGCGTATGCGCTGCAATGAGAGTATTTGAGAATACTTAGGCTTCAAGTCCGAGCCTCGTTTTAGCACACACCGGCAACTGGTCTGGCCACCGTTCGTTCAGCTGTTGCAAATTTGGTGAGTTGTTCTCAAGCGGTGTGAAGGGGTCTCAAGCGAGAGCCCACATGCGAAATGAAGCCGTCCGTCATCCGTATGGTTGTTTCCGAATCCGACTTAGTATTAAGAGCGGGCCCCATTTTGACAAGGTCTCGCCCCCGACGCAGTGACATGTTGCAGGCCTGTGCCTACGAGAAATGTGCGCGGCGCGGGAGAGATGTACACATGCGGCGCAAAGGATCTATACACATGTTGAGGACAATCTCCCGTCCACCCACGCACTTGCTGCAAACATTTCGTCCGCACGAGGGCGTCACTGCGGCGAGAGCCGCATGCTGAAAGTAAGTTGGCCTCCGCCCCTAAGCTGATTTGAATTTCCAGTCCAGCTACATACATTGTGCTGAGTTGTCGTGCGAAGTGGCCGGCCCACCCTTCCGACAGCCTGGAGGTGCGACCAGGAGAAATTTCTCATAGGGGATGAGGGTGGAGGAGCCGGAGGAGGTTGCTCATGAGGAGGAAACGGAGCACAATGGTCATAAGTCATGAGGACGCTGGCCATGCGGATGAGGACGATGAGGAATCGGATGAGGATAGGCCTTAGTGGGCCCCAGAAACGACAGGACCGTGTTTTCACCGTTTCCGAAGAAGCGTCTCTTGAAACAGGAAACGGAAAAGACGACAACCAGAAACGGCACACAAAAACGGCTCCAGGATTGGAGCTGGAGCCGGAACCGGCAAAACAACGGCGTCGGAATTGGCAAAAAAACGGCGTCGGAACCGGAAACGAAATTTGGATGCCCGACATGGGCACGGAAAGAATGGGTACAATGCCCAACAGCAGTTCCTGTTCATTTTGAACAGGACTCGCTGTCCGCGCCGCCGCGGCTTGTGCCCGTTCGAGACAGAAGGCCGCCTGCCCAACAGCGGCCACTGTTGGTTTAGGACAACATTTGCTGTTAGGCATTGTATCCATTCTTTCGGTACCCATGTCGGGTGTCCAAACGAAAGGCGACATGGAAGCAGTAAAACACTGCCCTTTCGCTTCCAGGGCCCACTAAGGGATAGGCGCATTCGGATCATGGTCATCAGGAGGGGTCGGGAGGCGAATAGAAGCTTCTTCCGCTGGCTTCTACATGTCCACATGCCAGTACACTTTAAGCGCCCTCCTACTCGAAGCATTGTTGGCTTCCTATTGTGTTCGCCCGCGTCATGTGCGGGCCGAGACCCAATCGACTTTGCCGCCGTCTTGTTGATTCTTTCTGCCAACTTCTTCCGAACGAGGTGTGTTCAGTTTCACACCCCTTGCCCTTGTAGAGCACGTCGTATTTTCTGCTGCTGCATGATTGGTGAGGAGTGGGTGGAAGCTGGTGGGGACGAGGATGGTGTAGAGGGTGGGGGCAAGGAGCTACAAGCAGCAGGCGAGATACCTCATGCACCCCTTCTCCTCATTCACCCCTCCCCTGCCGCAGAGGACTGCGCCAGGGATGACCCGAGCGCGACCTTTCCCCGCTGCCACGGCAAAGCGACGACCCCCAGCCAGTTCTCCGGCACGGGATGGAACCAGGTGGCCAGAGCATTCTCGGAAGGAGGGGGGCGCGGGGGAGCGAGCGGCAGGGCAGCGTGGAGGGGGCGGGCGGGAGGTGTCGTCGCGAGCGGCAGAGCAAAGTGGGGGGGGCGGGGTGGAGGACGCGTCGTCGCGAGCGGCGGCGTGTGCGATAGAGGAGGCCCCGCGTGAGGCTGCGGCAACAGCAGTGCTCACGTGCAGAGTAGGTGAAGCTGAAGCTGTGGGCCCCCCAAGATCTGCAACGCCGTGCCTTTCCACAGCGCGGCTCCCCAGGGACCCAGAGTCTACAGACCCCTTCCCAGGGACCAGCCTTCCATCCTGGAGGTCGATAGCGGTCAACAGCCAGCTGTGATGAGTGTTGCGCGACGCGAGGATGTCAAGTTTCTGAGCAGGCGCAGAGAGAGGAAGAACAGGGGAGGCTTGTTCGTCGAGCACCGCCCTTACGGCCCGTCTTCGCGCCCGCCTCGTCCTCGGCGGCGCCTCGAAGCAGGGCTGGATCGGTTGGTTGCCACAGAGCAGAAGGGCCTCCCTCAGGAGGGGAATGAGGGCGAGGAGGAGGCTCATCCAACCTCGGTGTGCGCCCCACGATGACCAGATGAGGAGGAGGAGGAGGAGGAGGAGGAGGAGGAGGAGGAGGAGGAGCAGGAGGAGAAGGAGGAGGAGGAGGAGGAGGAGGAGTAGGAGGAGGAGGAGGAGGAGGAGGAGGAGGAGGAGGAGGAGGAGGAGGAGGAGGAGGAGTGGGAGACGGCTTTTACGCCGTGATAAAAAGAAACTGATGGCCGGGCCGCCCAGGATGGCGTTCCCTCTTCCCCACCCCTCCTCTTCTCTACCCCTGCCTCTCGAGTCGGACAAACGGGGGGGAAGGGGAAGGGCTCGCAGTAACCTGCCAGCAATTTCGAAGATGATTTCGTAGGGCTCATGGCTAGCACCGCGTGCTTCGAGGGACGTGTACCTTTCGCGCAGCTTCCTACGCCGTCCCCACTTGTGGGGCGCGTGCGTCCTCCGCGCGGGATCGAACCTGACCCAGGACCTGGGACGATAGGGGCGCTCCTCGGGGCGGGGGACGTTGCTGCGACAGCTGCCGTGCGCAGCCGGTGTCTGGTCCGCCGCCCACATCGGGCGCCCCATTGCTTCCCCCCCCCACGCGGCCGCTCTGTCGCACCCTCACTGGATTGTGGATACTATAGGCTCGAAGTTGTATACACTCCGGTGAACCCGTGACGTCCGTTACGGGGGTCGCTCCCCCCTCCCCCTTGGCTCTCGTCGTCGTCCTCGTCGTCGTCGTCGTCGCCGCTGCCTGTGCTGCCCTCAGAAGGAGTTCTGCTGCCACCGTCGCTGCTTCCACGACCATGACCGCACCCGCCACACTACCGTCATCCCGCCACGGGCGCCCGACCTCCCCCCCCCGTAGCGAGCGTTACGGGGGAGGGGTCGAACACATCTCCTCCAGTTGTACACCATCGTTTCCTATGCTCATATTCCTGTGCTCATATTCCTGTATTTGCCTTTTGTCACTGTCGCTTTCTGCCGCTGTGGAGCCTCGCAGCCGTACGATGTGAGTTGTGATAGCCCCCCCCCTATCGTTTCGTTGTACACCATCGTGTCAGGGGTCCCCCCCCCTCTCCCCTGCGGTCTCCCGAGCCTTGGGCGGCCCAGGTCCACATACCGCTCGACCTGGACCCGAGCGGCGTGCCCGCGCCTGGCGACGTCGCGTCGCTGCACGTGTGGTGCTGGGACCCCGGGCTGTGCAGCAACGATCTCTGCGTGGCCCGGGCCTCGGCCGTGCGGCGGCGCCTCGTCCCGTCGGCCCTGTCCCTGGCCCTCCCTCGCATCGTGCCACACAGGCACGACGGGGTGTCCAGGCGACGGTTCGTAGTATGAGTTTGACTGTTGCGGGTCGGCTAGTGCGGTGTTCCCGTCTTGCCGCGTGATTTTCATGTGCGATGTGGTTGTGGAGTGGCTGCGCCTCGGTTTGTAACCAAAGAGTCATGCAGCCCCAGCGGGGACAACATATTGTGGACATCTTGTTCTGTGTGAATGAATGAGATCGCGACGGAGTGTTTGTGGTCGGGGGTCGGAAACCGTATCCCCAGGATGTGCATTTTTTTGCACACGGCCCCCGCTCCGCCGCCCCATCTTGGCACACCCCGCACACGGGTCGTGGCCTCATAAGGAGCTCCATCGAAAGGCCCAAGCGGGAGTGTCCGCATGGCATTGCCGCCCCATTTGGCACACTCTTCACAGGGTTCGTGGCCCCATAGGGAGCTCCACCGAAGGCCTCAGCGGGAGCGTCCGCATGGCACCGCCGCATGGCACCGCCGCCCCATCTCGGCACACACCTCACACGCTTCGTGGCCCCATAGGGAGATCCACGGCAGACCCCAATGGCGGCGTTCGCAGGAGTCCTCCCGACTCATGTCGGCACACCCTTCACACGTTTCGCGGCAGAAGGCTATACCGCGTGCGCTACTCGGAGTTTGCGCGCTCCCCTCCTTCGTCTCATCTCCCTCGCGGCACTCACAGCTACACATGGCTGGGTCCTTCGTCAGGCTAATTGTAGCGGTGGTGTGCAATCATCGTGTCCCCACTTGGGCTGTTTTCGGTTCCTGGGGGGCCTTGCCCGGCTCCAGGTGCCAACAAAAACTGACCAGGATGAAAAAGCACGTCCCCTGGAAGAGGCCCAGACTTCTGGGGTCCACGCTCTGAAAAAGTCACGCCGCGGGACGCCCAGGTTGCCCTCGCAGTACCAGGGTGCAGGGAGATGACTGCTCTTGAAAGGGAACTTTCTGCACACAGGCGATCCGCTCAGGGTGCGGCGCCTCGAAGACTCGTCGGCGCCGCGTCCTCGTTATCACGTATCCGGCCTTCTCGGGCTTCTTCCCTGTTGGAGGTTTCACCCTCCGCTCCCTACTTCCCTTCCCCTCCGCCTCCGCCTCCCCCCCGCCCCTCGTCGCCGCTTCCTCCTCCCTCCTACCAGGAAGCTGGATGCGCATGGCGAGCTGGATGCACACGTGGCCTTGTGTCCTTTGAGCGTTCTGCCCTCCTGTGGCCGTTTGCGCTGGGCCTCCGCACGTGTGCACCCAGCGTGTGGCCTCTGGATGCATTACGTGTGAATCCAGCCGTGTGTGTTCCAGCCTCCTGGCGCCACAGCGCCCCAACGGGCGCGCGCCCAGCCGCAGCCTCGCAGAGGTCCCGGCGAACAACGTGGGCGCGGTCGTGGAGAGGAAGAATTGGCTCCAGCAGACGGACAACGCGTGGACTGCCGTGGTGCGCCATCCGCCGCCCTCCTTCCTCGCAGTGCTGGCTCGGAGGCAGCAAAGGCATGTAACCGTGGCGGCCAGCGTGGGGCCCCGGGCAGTGGGCTCTTACACTCTCGACGTGCGCGCTGCGCGGAGTAAACTGCTGGGCGCAATCTTCGCGCAAGGCTGCAGTGCACCAGCCTGCACCGTGTGCGACCACCTCCAACGCACGTCGTCAGCCCCAATGCTCGATTCCACCGCCCTCCCACCCACCCGCAAGTGCTTGGCAACCACAGTTACCGTAATGATGCGAGAACCCTTCTCATGCAGATCTTTGGCTCGGGCGTGCGAGTGATGATGCTGCTGGTAATGATGTTGTCGCTGATGACGAGGAGGCCGACAACTGCGATGACGATAGCGATGCTGCTGTTGATGACTGTGGTTGGGATGGAAAGGACGCTGGTGATGGTGACGAATATGATTGTGATGGTGACGACGATGGCGATGATAACGCTGGTGCTGGTGGGGACGATTATGATGTGTGCGAGCGTTGAAATTCAGACATCCTGGTATAACTTTTGGTTACGTACAAGCAGTTGCGTGGGCGTTCATGTGCGTTTGAAGACATTTGTATTGAAAAGTTTGGAGGTTCATAATGGTGTTAAAAGGATTTCGTCGTGCGCGCCGCGAGGTTCGTGTATGACACACATGGTATTCTTGACAGCACAGGCGGGTGCGCGATGCATGTAGACTGATCTCGTCATGCGCGTGCGCGCGGCTCGCGTGCTGTCTTTGGACAGAATGGCAAGACAACAGTGGTTTCATCTTTATTCCAGCGAGTGCGGGCGCACAGAACTCTTGCCTCTTAGTTTTCGCAGAACCATGTTTTGTGGCGTTTCTCTTTCTCTCGCTCCCCCTCTCTCTATGTATCCACATGTGCATCTACGGTCCAGGGGTAAACATCAGTGGCCATGGACGGATTTCGGCACGTGCGCGCTCATGAGGCTTTGCACGATATCAGTCGACAGGGATGCTGGCTCAGCGCACCCGTCCGCATCTCTCGCACTTGGGATGCACGGCCGTGCAGACTGGACACGAGCACGCCGTGGGAGGCCACATGCGAACCCTGCCCCTACCCCCCAACGATTTCTGAGGGGGAGGGTGGAGAGGGTGGGGCTCGGGAGCTCCCGAGCGAAGTGAACCCCATCCTCCCCCTCAGAAATCGTGGGGGCAGGGATCGCATGTGGCCCCCTAACGCAGCTCGCGCAGCAGGGCGGGGGAGGGGCGAGGGGGCCACGGCCTCGGCAGGGCGCTTTTGCGCCTGGGTGGTGCAGGCCGCGTTCATGTGCACCCGGAACCCCCCGCCGGCGCATGTGAACCCGGAACTCCCCGGCCTCCCCCCTGGCCTCCGCCGGGCCTTCCCTGCCCTACACCTTAGGCGATGCTTAAGAAAACCTAAGTTTTCGGCCAGAGTCTTGATTATTCTTAAGTTTTCAATGTAAATCCCAAGATTTTGATAGAAGTTCTGGGTTTTTATTCCAGTTCTGAGACTCTGAATTTCTTAACCCATGGTTTCTTAAGCATTTCGCAGGGTGTACCCTGCTCCCTTCTATCTCACTTCCTCCTCCCAGCGTGCAGGTTGCGACTCCGTTCACGCTGAGCCTGCCTCTGGCCGATAACTTCGACATCTCTCAGCAGTGGGCCCGCGCCAAGATCGTGGAGAAGGCGCGCTGCGCGGCGTGGGGTGGCCCCCTTGCCGTATCCTGCTCTTGTCTTTATTTCCCAGCTTGGGTCGTACAGTGAACTGTGGCTCACCCAGCGGTTTGATCAGATCTCTTTCCGCCTGGGCTTCGTCGTACACTCAATTTCCTGTGCAGGGCGGTGAGATTCTCCTCCCCCTCTGCCATCTCCTCCGGCTCGTGCTCCATCCCTCTCTCCTCCCTGCTCCGTTCCGTGTTCGGCTCCTCTTCCGTCTCCGTTCTGATTCGAGTCAAGGGACCACGTGCGCAGGGCCCACTTCTTGCTGCCTGTCCCGATGCACGTGCGTGCGCTTTTGTAGGCTCGGCACGTGCGCTCGTTGTGCGGGCATATGTGCCCAGCACGTGCCCCGTGTGTGCGAAGGGGCGTTCCCGCCGTCGACGCGCGGTGCTCCAGCGACGTGCGCAGCTGTGCGGGCAGGTGCTGAGGCCTCTTGTGGGCCCCGGAAACGGCAGGGCCGTTTTTTCCACCGTTTCCAAATGGGTCTGTGCTTTGAGTTATCCTCAGGAGGGAACAAAAACACACAGACACAATTAATCGCGGGTTCCTACGAAAATATAGGGAAATATGGGAATTGGGCGGGAAGACAAAAACCTTGAAAGTATTGGAAAACATGGGGAATCAGTTTATTTGTGTGTATTTATTTGTGTGTCCTTGGGCCCCTTGATATCCACTTTTCCCGCTCGGTCCCTGCCATTGGAGCGTTGTCGGCGACCGTGCGCCCACGTGCTCGGCGCGTGCGGCACTTTTGGCGAACTTGGAGGCCATCTGGGCCGTCTTGGAGGCCTTCTTGGAGCCATTGGGAGCAGGGGGAAGTTTTGTTCCACCACCTCGCCCAGAGCTATCTGGGTGGCTGGCGCCCTGGGCCGAAGCCCCATGGGGGAGTCCTTTTGGAAAGAGAGAGCGTGTTCTGCCGCTGCTGGCAGAAAGCCGCGGGGAGCCACTGTGGGTTTCCGATCCGCACCCCCCTCGAAAACCGGGGGGGTCACGGGGGGTTCCAATGCCCCCCCCCCCCGCGATCCATCACGAAAAAGAGGTGGGGGGCCTCTATCAGTTCGAACCCCCCCCCTGCCGCTGGCAAACGACTCCCCCTCCTCCCCACTCTGGACAGTGAGACAGCGGTGGGGACAGTGGGGACAGTGGAACAGTGGTGGGGACAGTGGGGACAGTGGGACAATGGTGGGGACAGTGAGGACAGTGGGGAGAGTGGGACCGTGGTGGGGACATTGGTGGGGACAGTGGGGACAGTGAGACACTGGTGGGGGCACTGGTGGGGGCAATGGGGACAGTGGGGACAGAGGGAGGGACACTGGGGATAGCGGGACAGCGGTGGGGACAGTGGGGACAGCGGGACAGTGGTGGGAACGGTGGTGTTGGGGACAGTGGTGAGGGGACAGTGGGGACAGTGGTGGGGACAGTGGGGACAGTGGGGACAGTGGTCGGGACGGTGGTGGTGGGGACAGTGGTGAGGGTGGTGGTGAGGACGTTGGTTGGACAATCGGAGAGTGGTACAGTGGGGACTGTGGAATCATATGGCTCCCTCTCGTCCTGACTATCCGTGCTTTCTGCATTTGTGTCTGTTGTATGCTTGCTTGTGCACAGCGCCGTGACTGACGCTTTGGCTCAAGCTGTTCTGTGTGCGTTGAGTGCAAAGGCATCCCATTCAGTACATCTTGCGATGGCCGCCTGAACCCGTCGTGCCCACAGTGGTAGGCGGAGCGTGGTTCACCGAACGACTTCCGGAAGCGAGGCCCAGGGCGGGTGCGCAGCTGGAGGACGGTTCACAGATCTGCGGCAGGGCGAGGGCGACCTACGAGGGTGCAAGTACTGAAGACGGGTGATGAGTCACTCGAGCGCAGCTGCCTCAGCAGGCGGCAGGGAAGGGCTTACAGACGCAGACATCGACAAGATTGCGGGCAGAGTGGCCCAGATGATACGGCTGGGCACAGGGGCTGCGCCGGCCACGGCGCCACCCGAGGGCGCGCCCAACCTCCAGGGGCTCGCCGGTCAAGATCAGAGCGCGGCTCCATCTCACGAAGCAGGCTGGAGCGTGGTCGACGACCCCTGGACGGAGCAGGATCCGTGGCGAGAGGAGTGGAGAGCGAAGGATGCGCGGGCAGAAGAGGACAAGCAAACACCACCATCCATGAGGGCATCAGACACCTGGAAGGAGTGGAGAGACAGACCCGGGCGACAACAGACCTGGGATCAAGACTACTCGTGGCAGAGCTGGGGTAGTCAAGGCAGCACGTGGCAGCACGACCGCGGCTGGTGGCAGGGCCAGTGGACCCAACCCAGGCCAGCACCATCCTGGCCAGGCTGGGAGAGATTCAGGCTGTGGAAGCAGTACGTGCAGCGCTGGAAGAACGGCCTGAACTTGAGCGAGGCTCAGGCAGCAGACAGACTGCTGGAGATCCTGCCCTGGGAGATCCGGGCGACCCTTGAGGACGTCCCGGATAGCGAGCTGACGGTCGAGCTCATACTGAAGAGGATGGGCCTCAAGTCCGGCGAGCGCGAGGACGACGACCTCTACCGGACGGGCAGCGAGGCCATGCAGGACACGGAGAGGAAGAAGGATGAGGACCTGCACACCTTCGCGGAGCGACGCCGACGTCAATTCGACAAGGCGAAGAGTATCGGGATGGAGATCCCGCAGAAGATCCAGGGCATGCTGCTGATGCAAGGAGCTCGTCTCAACGAGCAGGGCAGACAGAACCTCAAGAGCCTGACGAAGGGCTCGATGCTAGGTGAGGACATCCTCTGGGCGCTGCCCAAGCTGGACACCGGAGGGAAGATCTGGAGCGACGGCAAACAATCATCGCTACTGAGTATGGGATCGGAGGAGGCGCTGCCAACTCCCGAGATCCAGCGGGCAGAGATCGGGCCGGTCGAGGAGCCGATCTACGAGTGGTCGTACTGGGCCGACGAGCTGGACTCGGAGGACGAGGTCATGGTGCTCGTCGAGCTCTCCGAGAAGAGCCTCGCGGAGCCAGAGGTGGTCGAGACCTTGGCACAGATCGGCAAGACCAAGAAGACGTGGAAGGAGAACCAGCAGCTGAAGACGGCGCTCAAGCGGGATCGGGGCTTCTGGAAGAAGAAGCGCCGGCTCACTCCATCACAGCTGAAGTTGATCACGAAGTGCGGCAACTGTGGAGAAGTAGGGCACTGGCACAAAGAGTGCAAGAATCCTCATCGTCCCAGAGAGCGAGATGGCAAAGGCAAACCTCGGTCTGGAGGGGCCGAGATCGAGGCCTTCACGTTCGCAGCGATCGGCGCGGGCGACGACCAGGACTTCAACCTCGACGGCATCACGGTCCTGGGCAGGGAGGTGCTGGCGACCCTCAGGGAGATCATCAGCTCGGAGACTACGGAGCTCTCGCTGCTGATTCTCGAGGGCGGCCTGATCATCGTGGACAGCGGCGCCTCCCAGGCGATCATAGGCCGCCGGGCTTTGAAGGAGCTCGAGGGAGATCTGCAGCAACGAGGCCTGCGGATCAACTGGATCGAGAAGAGCGTCCAGACACCTCGGGGTATCGGCGGATCGGCCACGCTGGTCGGAGTCGCCGTGGTGCCCATCTCCATCGGTGGCAAGAGCGGGACCGTCGAGTTCGTGGTGACGAAGGAGGACCTGCCGCCACTCTTACCAGGCGGGTTTCTCGAGCAGTTCGGCGCAGTGCTGGACTACGAGAAGGACCTTCTCATTCTGAAGAAGTTGGACTGTGAGACTGAGCTCCACCGGATCGGGAAGAACCACCGGGGGATCTACATCAACGACTGGCGCGGGACGGAGAGCAGCTTCTCTCCCAGCTCGCGCGCCTTGCCAGCCGGCCTCAGCTCGGACGCCTTCCGAGCCCCGACTGACAAAAAAGACGTACTCTCTTGGAAGGATCCCTCCAGGCCTCAGAAGGAGAGAAACGGCACCACAGGAGCCCCCGCACCTCAGAGAGATCCCGGGAGCCTGCATACCGACTACAGCAGTTCGAAACCTGCGATGCCTTCCTCCAACCACGACTCCCGCCACATCTCCAACCCCGTAGCTGTTTTGGCTCAAACATCGAGCCAGGCACAACCACCAAGCTCACCGCGAGATCCGCCTCAAGTCGATGCGGAGCCGCCCAGACTTGGACATCTCAGAGAGGGTCAAGATCCAGTGGATCAGGCTGCTGCATGCCGGACTGATGTGGACACAGACCCTCATGGACAAGTTCTTTGCTCTGAACAGGCGCGGGAGACTCTTCCCGGGAAAGGAGCTTCGTCGGAGGATGGTGGAGGACCCCAGGCTGGTGAACGACCTCTACGAGTACCGGGTTCCGATGACGGCTCCCTTGGCGGACGGGTCGGTGCCTTGGACGCTCTGCGTGCACCGCCCCAGGTGGTTCGTGACCTCCTACAACCAGTACGGGAACTGGGAGCAGTGCAACAAGTGCAAGGTGAGGACGTCCTTTCGAGAGATCGGGCACCGCGGGGACGGCCACCGACAGATGACGGCATCGGAGATGAGGAAGCTCAAGCAGCAGCTCCCGCGCGACGTCAGGCCCCTGAGCTCGGCAGGCTCGGCGATGCGGGATGGCGCAGCTCCGGCTCCGAGTCGACGCGTGGCGTCGGCGCCGAACGACGAGAACACCTGGTCGAGCTTCAACCAGGAGCCTCCGCCACCGTGGGCCTCAGAGATGGTGCGAGGCCTGTCGGCAGCAGTGGCCGAGGCGATGACGGCATCCACGGGGCCGATGACAGCAGCGATACGCGAGCAGTCCGTGACGCTCTCGCACATGGTGGCCACGATGCAGCAGATGGCGTCAGAGTCTCCAGCAGCAGGCGGGAGTGCGGACTCCAGCTCGCCGACACCGCCAACCGGTCCGCCACCGACGACCACCGGGGTACTGCCAAACCTCGGGTTCACCATGGTGGAGGAGGTCCCGGCGGACACCGACATGAGGGGCAACTGAGAGAGAGCGGCGTGCTGCGAC